ACAGCTCTGGAAGAGTGCCTGGTCGTTGCTTATCGTCTCTGCCTTCTTAGGGTTTCCTGTGCCCTCCGGTAGTCGGGGACCAGTGAAGAGCTGTGCTCATCTGACTGCGGTGTGACGCTCCCTGCTCAGGATTTCCTCTCTACAGATCGAATCACAGATGCACAGAAGTTCAGGGCTGGAAGGGACCTCGTGAGATCCTCGAGTCCAGCTCCCCTCCCCGCTCTGGGCAGGAAAGCCTGCTGGGGTCAAATAACCGATCTCTCTCTTTCTCACTGTTCTCTCCGAATATCCCTGCCCTCCTCCCCAACCCCTGCCTTTGCATATGCTCAAGCGTGCCATGATGCAGACCCAAGACTAGAGCGTGACCAGGGCTAAACAGTGCCGACAAGAAATTCCTGGTCTTTGCCTGGGGCTTGCATAGTACTATAATCCCAACCCACCTCCCTTTGAGGCCAAGAGCAAATGAATCATTCATTTTACTGGGAACCAGATAAGGCTCTGAATTCCTGCCTCTCCAGCAGAGAGCTGCAGATGCAAACACAAGCCAGCTCAGTGGGACACCTTTCACCTGAGGCTCTTGACCAGTGCTCGTGGCTGCATCCTTGCAATGCTCTGGGATGGTTGGTATGGACTGTATAACCCCACAGGGCCACTGAGCCACAGACAGGTGCCGTGACTCTCAAAAGCCCCGGAGCAAGTGGAAGGACAGAGCTCCCAACCCAGGTCCCCGTGACACCCGTGCTTAGGACCGTTGAACCCAAAATGTACAGGGCTGCTGCGTGGGCCAAGGACGAGCTTCTTGGTGCAGTCTGAGTCACTGGACAGAGTTCCTCACGGTGCTGCGCGTGGTACAGCAGCAGTCTGAGCTGTGCTTTTCCAGGGGGACTGCTGTTGAGTTTCTGTAGTCTTTAAATAAGATGCTCCCTTCCTGCAGGTCAGGTGGCTGGTCCAGCTCTTGGGCTGTCTGTACTGAAAGCAGAACAGCCTGGGAGCAGGAAACACCGTATTTACCAACCGACCACGTGTACTCTTCCCCCAAAAATCAGCCTTTGAAAACCGAGGTGCGTGTGTTAAGCTGGGGAGCTGGTTTTTCTTCACCAGCTCAGGAGCTGCTTTGCTATCATGGCTGCTGCTTCTCTCCAGGCTAGCATCCACCCGGGGTGGAGTCAAGTGTTCACCCTTTTATACCCGCTCCAAATTGGCAGGAGCTTTTGGCAGATCAGCCAAAAGCTGCTGCCAATGTGGCAGTGGTTGTGAAAGGGTTACCCCTTTCACTGTTGCCAGAAGCAGACAGTGAGCAAAAAACCCAGTTTCTTAGTTGGTCTAATAAAACGTATCATCTCTGAACCAAGAGATCTAGATTTTTGCATTTCTTTTTGTCTCAAACCAACACGGCTACCAACTACATCCCTGAAGTGGGATAATGGGTTGGTACCCCTGTAACATCCTGGGACACAGGACTTTGTTCCTATGAAAAGCTAGGCTTCTCTCCTCTTTTGGTCCCTGGTTTTGATTGGGATCAATCGAAACCACCTCAAGTGGGATGTCTGTTTATAACCTAACCGACTGGCTCAAAGCCTGAAACAGGATGTCTTGGTTTCTTCAAACAAGTTTGTTATGATTTGATTGCGATCGCTCTGGGTAGTCTTGGCGTCCGTTTAACTAACCAGTCCCCTTTTGAGTGCGCGTGTGCGTGCGTGTGGTTTTGGTTGCAGTAAGCGTGGCAGCGTTGCACGACAGAGCACTTCCTCCTGCTTTTGCAGCAGCTGGTGAAACATTTCCCTCCGCTTGGCATTTGTTATTCTTAAATGTCGTTTGCCATCGTCTTGCCCTTTCACTTTGCTGCGTTCGGTCTCTGACATACCTTATAGTCTCCTCCGACCTTGACTCACCTAAGTTGGCGAGAGCTCTGTGCTCGGGGTCCTCCGAGCACCTTGGCTGTTACCTGCTGTGACTTCCCCCTTCCTTCCCTTTCCCGTTTTGTCAGCGCTCACGCCACGAACTCAGTTGCTCTGCTCCTAGTGGCCTCTACCCTCAGTGGCTAGTCCTGGGGGGTTTCAGCCTGCCGTCATGGCACGACAAATAGGCCAGACTTCCCAAAGTCATCTTGTTTCATATGCAAATTTTGCTTTTTCATTGCTTCACTTGAGATCACTAATGGGACTCAGTCTGAGCCCTGGTACATGCAGATCCTTGAGGCCACTAATTTCGACCTTCATGATGAAATCTGGCTGTTTGATCCTCCTTTTTGCTTCCTCCCTTTCCAGTTTCTGACCAGTGGGGATGCTGGCTCTTGCCCCATGACAACTCCATTGGTTTAGCTCAGGAGTGGGCAAAATGGCGGCTGGACTCCATATCCCAGCAGCCCCTGCCCTCAGGGCTGGGGCCGGTCTCCATGGAGCCCCCAGCTGCCCCTGCACTGTGATAGCACAAGGCTGGGGTTGCCATGGACACTGGCCCCAGCCGCACTGGCAGGGCAGGGCAGGGGGCTTCTTTGGAGCCGGTGGGATCTTGCGATGGGGCCAAGGCAGAGCTGTGATCTGCATCCTGCATGCTGAAGACAGGGGCGCGCAGGCAGCAGATCACGGCTCTGCCCCGGCTCCTTGTAGCGGGGACAGCCTGGTCCCAATCCGGGGCAGAGCTGTGATCCGCTGCCTGCACACCCCTGCCCAGAGCATGCAGGCTGCAGATTGTGGCTCTAATTGGAGTCCACTGCCGGCCCGTGGGCCACACTTTGTCCACCCCTGGTGTAGCTGCATCTCCCACTGGATCTCTTCTCAGGTCTTTTGGAAGTTTGTCTGGATGACATCACCTGATACTTCTTTTTCTGCTGGCTTTCTTGGCATGTCCAAAGCACTCTAAGAGATTAGCAAAATACATTTTTTTTTTCCCCATTGCAGACATTGCAGAGGTTTTGACTTTATATCACAATCTTCCAGGTGTTTTATTATTCTGTATGCAATTATCTATTCATCCAAGTTGCCAGGTGCAGAGATCAGGTTTACCGGCCTGCAGTTCCCCAGAGCATCCCGGGAACCTTTTTCAAATATAAACATGACATTTGCTATCCTGCAGGCCTTTGGAGAGAGAGCTGTTCTACATTCAGAGCTGTGCTCCGTGCCAAGAGAACAGAAATCCATTTAGATACGATGCTAATGGAAATCTGCACAGCTCTGCTGAGGTCCTGAAATACTTCCAGTAAAAGAGAAAAACGGGTCTCGCTTTCACGGTAGCATTTACAAAGGATTCATAAACGGCCAATGGGCGTTTAATCAATCGATCAGTCGTTTAACAAGGATTAGGCAATTCTCATTGCATCCTTGAGGTAAGATGGGATCAGAAATGCACAACAGCCTTTGCCAGGACAGTACTGCTACGGCTACTTTCGTATGACATTTTAGGATTACAAAAGTGGTAGTAGTAGTTCTGTCCTATCAAATGCTGTCAGCAGCCTGATAGCATTTGATAGGACAGTCCTACTATAGCATTTGCAAATGGACCCAGGGGCTGACTTTATAGCAAGGACATAATTCTCAATTAGACTCCTTACAACTGTGCTGTCATAGGTGTTACAGCACACTTTAGCAATGTCGATGCTGCAGTAGGGAACCGTGATCTTGGCACAAGTCAGCTTGGAAAACTTAGCAGTGAGTAAGTGTAGCAATGAGGAGCAATGAGGTTTTGTACCTGGATTTCCACACCCAGCGTCTTGATTGTATCCTCACCACAGCCAGAGATGTCTTCCCAGTTTCATACAAATCACTTGTCTCTTATGCAGCTTCTTGTTCTATCAGCGTGTCCATCGGTTAGTGGCTCCCCAGATCTTTTACCAGAGTAGCTCGTTCACTGCCCACCATCAGGACCCCCGTGCATTTCCCTCTGTCCCCAGAGTGATGCAGAGGGTCCTAAGGAAGGTGACTGCCACCCCACAGGCGACAGCGAAGAGGGCAGAGATGGATGCGAGGCCCTAGACTCCTGATCAAAGGAGTTGGTAGCAGTGCCTCGAAGCCGCTGGGCTGATGGACAACCAAAGGCAACACGTTCAGATGCTGTTTCTCTTGGGTGCGTGTAGGACATAATTTCCTCGTCTCCTCTGTGGCCAGGAATTCAGCTGCTTGCTGTGAGACTGTAATTAATCTAGAAACATAAGGCTCTGTGCCAGGAGGCCTTTTTAATTAAAAATCAACCAAGCTGGGGTATCCAATAAACTCTCTGTTAAAGCCCAACATCATTGCTGCATGTGCTTGGATATAATCTGGGGCAGAAAAGACCGGGGTGGTGGAGCCCATGAGCTAAGGTCTTTACATATGTCTGTTCTGCATTGCTGTCCTCTGGGACCATGTCCATCTCCTTGGGTCCGGTAAGGGACACTTCTTATGTTCCTGCAGTCAGGAGGAGCATGGAGGTGGCTGCGTGGGGCCTGATTTAATCATAGTTTAGGAGGACACAAGGCAGTAGGAGCCTGTGCCCTTGAAAATGGTGGGGCTGTGCTGCACAACAGCCCATCTGGAAGACCAGAGTGTGCGACCTGCAGGACAGGGCAGTGGTGCTGGGTGTCAAGCAGAGCTGGAGCCTGATGGATGAGCCCAGGGAGCTATGTCGGGGCATGGGACTGAAGCATAGATGGGAGTGAGGGTCGTGCATGGTCTCAGGGTGACACTTCTCCCTGGGTCCAAGCCCCAGCGAAGCTTCTTGCACACCCGATCCTTTCATGGGGACCTTCCACTGGGCTTGCATTTTACTAGCACAGGGGAGGCTTCAGGTGTGACTCTGCTTCTTATCCTGTGGCCTTCACTGTGGTATCTGATCCCCCAGGGCAGGGCGTAACATTAATGGGACCCCTTTGCCCTGGGGTTTAGTGAGGCAGGCTTTGGCATAGTAAGATGATCTCTCTCCCTTCATTTTAAGATGCATCTTCTCAGTAGAAAGGAGGAGCCTGATCTGTCATTGCCTCTGCCCAGGATCCATCCCATCCCATCCATGTTGTTTTTGTCCCCCAGGGCCGGCGGTGAAGGATGTTCTCCTCGCTGAAGGCGTACGAGAATCAGCGGTACGCGTCCCTGAAGAAGAGCTGCCAGCGGCGGAAGCAGCTCTTTGAGGACCCGCTCT